TACCAGGGGTAAATTGATGAATTCAGCCGTAATGACTTATTTGAACATCTTTATTTTGCTGATCGTTTTTCTTTTTTTCTTTTTAAAGCATTTCTCTATTACTACTTTTTTGACAAAAAATGCAAAAATGGGTAAAATATCATTCAGGGAGCAATAACTCCTATAAGGAGTCAGTTGACAATTTCGGTCTTGTTCTACTTATTTGTAATCTTGTTGTGCTGAACATCTTTGTAATTATTTACCGGTTTTCTCTTTATCTTTTAAGGTTTATGCAACAATGCAAAATGGGTAAAATCATATAAGGGGTTTATTGACGGATTTCGGCCATGATGACTTATTTGTAGATTTTATCTTGTTGAACTTTTCTGTTCTTCACATCTTGACTCTATGGAAGAGGTGAGCTAAGATGGAACAAAAAAACTGATTTTTTATTAATATAATGAATTCTTGAATTATTTATTTTTTTTTATTACATTGACTTTTAATTCAAATAAAGCAGAAAATGAAAGGCATTTAATTTATTATTACATATTCTTAATTCCTTTTGTTGCAACTTATTGACAATGTCTTAACAACCTCTATTGTGGAATGACATCAGAGAACTAAATATGCTGAATTTATTTCATAAAAGAAAGAGTTCATTTTTACTGGGATTATACTATTTCATTGCGAGTAATGATATTAAGTTCACAAAAACTATTGACTGAATGCAGATTAATAAACCACAAAATTGGAAAAAAAGAAAGACAAATCCATGGCAAAAAGGATAAATGAAACCAGTTCCAATGTCCCCTACACATAATTTATAAGTCCTATGGCAGCAAATCATAATGTTTTCAATTTCAAGTAGGAGCCTCGGTGGCCGAGTGGTCTAAGTAGTCAAAATACTGTAAACACTGAGGTTGTGAGTTTGAATCCCACACGTGGCAGGTGTGCTTAACTTCAATCTTATAGGACTTGAAATATCAGTTTTCCTACTGAAGGTCAGGCGTTCTCTGCGGCTACCTCCACTAATAAAAACTAACTGCCACGAAAAAGTGTTGAAAGTGGCGTTAAACACCACCCAATTAATCAATTAATCCATTTCAATTGAAACAGATCATTCAGGTTTCCAAGACATTGCACATATTATTTACATATAAAGCTGACAAGAAATGAAGGAAAATATGTTTAAAATGCAAATTTCTATACGCATGCTAAGTTTCATTACTCCTGTAAACATATTTTATTTTAGCAAATTTCTACTTTCTCTGAAACATTGTTGATACATGAATATATAAACCTTTGATGTAAATTTCATAAAAAATATATGCTTGAGACCGCTTACATTGCAATTTTTCATATAATTTACAGTGACAAAGGGCAAAAATACTATAAAATAATTGATCCACCATGATATTTTAATTCATCCACACATTGTTGATATGCATCTTTGACACATATGTCAATAAAATCCAACATTAAATGTAGACATGATATACATATACACCCATTATTTCAATGTCCCTTACTCCACTTTGAAAAAGAGGACAAAAGATTAAAAGACAAACATCAGTCCACAAAATTTTAGACTACAGAGGAAAATAGAAGATTGGGCAATATAAATCCAAAATAAATGGTGAATGTGTCTATGGGACACAGATGATACCCTCGGTTGCATATCATATCAAGTTATACTGTTATACCGAGTGTGAATTTGCATTGTTAGACGACGAGTCTCGGTATTTTGTACATCCAACATTCATGTATTTATTTTTGATGTTTCTGTTATGGTTTCGGTTGAATAATGTGTTATGTCTTATCGTTTGTAGCCCAAATAATTAAAAAATTGCCATTTCATAACATCATTGTCACGAAAATTGTTTGGACGAGTATTGGAAAATAATTGTATAAAGTTCGAAATTGCATGTAAGTGCGTCACTGTTTGTGATTTCCAGTGGTGTCTGTCTTTGATGGAATATGTTCGTTGTTCTGCGGTTCGCATGTTGTGTCAACTATTATATTATGTGTTTGCGCTATATTTCTGTCACGTAGTGTTGCCATTTTAGCTATATTTTTTAACATTATCACAAAGCGGGAGGTTTGCCTAGCCATTCAACAAGGTTCAACCCACCATTTTTTTCTTAAAATGTCCTGTACCAAGTCAGGAAAATGGCATTTGTTATCAAATAGTTCGTTTCTATGTATGTTGGCGTTTGTTTTTGTTGCACTTCAGTGTTCCTGTTGTTCCTTTGTTTTCCTCTTATAGTTGATGTGTTTCCCTCGGTTTTAGTTTATAACCCGGATAACCCTCTCAATCGATTTATGACTTTTGAACATCGGTACACTACTGTTGCCTTTACAAAGAGACATAATTGAAGAACGGTAAAAGTGAGACGGTAACCAAATTTGTACTGGATCTTAGTTTTGTGGTAATAAGTATTGTGTATAAGTTTCATAACATTTGGTTGAAGCAAACTTAAGTTAGAGAACGGATGCGAAAAATTTTAGCACTTTTTCCATATGTAAAGGGGCATAACTCTAGACCAGTATAAGTGACACCACAAAAATTTAAACTTGATCTATATTTAGTGGTAATAAGCATTGTGTATAAGTTTCATAACGTTTGATTGAGGCTTACTTAAGTTAGAGAACGGAAAAAAAATTCAGCATTTTTTCTATTTGTAAATAGGCATAACCCAAAAACAGTTTAAGTGACGCCACCAAAATTCAAACTTGATCGGTGTTTTGTAGTAATAAGCATTGTGTTAAAGTTTCATAACATTTGGTTGAGGCATGATAGCAAATGTAGTAAGATTTGGGCGATAAGTTACTCTCAGTGATGTCATAAACAAAAAGTTCCAGGCCATGCAATTATATAATTCAAAGTACTGTCAATTCAGATATTATTGTGAGGTTTTATTAATGTGAAAAATACAACTACTTGAGTATCGCAATAATAAGAACTCATTTCAAATACACATATTTGTCTGTAGCTTTTCATAAAATCATAATAAACTTGCATTTTTGTTCATTCTTCAAAATAGCAGAAATAAATGCACACAGTAATTTCTGAATTAACAGTATTGGAAAACAGGAAGTAGGTGTCTGACAGATTGAAATAACATATCGAGTCAGCACTTTCAAAGCTCACACCAATTGTTACTGAATTTGAAGTCATTCTGTTGGCTAGATTTAAAGAAAAATGTTACTAAATTATTCAGATTATTCAACCAACTGAAAATTTTAAAGTATCAGTTTATGGGGACCCACTTATGATAAGTCAATAATATTTGGTATGCAGTTAATGAGAATTGGCAGATTTCATTTCAAAAGGAGATTATTTTCATACATGAAGTAGGTGACTAACAGTTCCGAAATACACTTACACATTACAACACATCAATGTTAAACTACAGACAATGTCACACACATCATGTTATTCTGTTCAGTAACACATAAGAACAGTTTGATGAAATTGTATATTGAACAGAGAAAAGGACAGAAAAATCGATAGCAATATAGCCCCATCCTTAGAGTGGGGGTGTCACAATACAATCAGGAAAGGATATTGTCGACGGCAAGTAGAACATATAAATGGTGTTCAGATATTCCATGACAGTCAGCCAAGTCATCTTTAAAATAAAATCAGAATTATGGATTTTAATGAACTGTTTACAAAACTTTAAATCTGATGCCCTAGGCACCGAAACATGTCAATCAATACATTTTCTGCAGCAGTCCCTAAAGTGTTATTGTTCTACATTTAAAACTTTAAATCGTTCAATGCTCTTAAACTTTATATTTTATTTTGCCTTGAATTTTTTTTTGAAACATCACTGATGAGGCTTTTGTAGATAAAACTCGCTTCTGGAGTACAAAACTACAAGCATTGTATCTATGATGAGTTTTCTTATTTACTGGAATGATTTACACATTAATGTTATACAATAAAAAAAACTACACATTGTTTTTTTTCTATAATTTTAAATTCCTGAAAATTTACTTTGGTGAATCTTTCACCTAATTTACTGTTTAAAATTAGTCAAAAAAGAACTCACTTTTAAAATGTCATCTCTTGAATCTTCCAGGGAACATGGTATACCATCTGATATAATTTTAAACCTTTTAACCTCACTAAAGATTCTATCAATTAAATCCACGTGACACGGTACCGTACTGGTATTATGCAATGATTGACACAGTACATGTATATCACTATAAGGAAGCAGTATCGAACATGTAACATCACTGTTAGGAAGCAATGATTGACACGGTACGTCCCTGTTAACATGCAATGATTGACACAGTACATCACTATTAAAATGCAATGATTGACACGTTTAAGCCGTGTGAAGATGCAATGATTGACACGGTACAGCACTATGAGGATGCAATGATTGACACGGTTCACCACTATCAGAATGTAATGATTGACACGGTTCAATACTATAAGAATGCAATGATTGACAAGGTATGTCTCTGTCAGGATACAATGATTGACTTTCATGATTGACACAAGATTTACCTTTTGATCTAATAAATTGAAGGCACATACGTCGTATTTTCTTCTCAATAGAAAATTAACCTTCAAATACAATTGCATCAAATTTCTTAAGCATTCCTTGTCTAAGACAGGACTCAAGTTTTCCTCTTAATCCACACTTATAGAATATGTCTGTGTCTGGGGTATTGTCACATACATTGACAAGCTTTGAACACCACAAAACAGACCCACAAGGATCAATAACAACAATTCCTTTATAAGTCATGGAATTATCTCCCTTTTGCATATAGATGTGTAACAGTTTCCCCTGTCTTACTGGTTTCCTTCTTTTTAATAGTTTCATTATTTAGCACTGTACATTCAGAATCTATTTTACTGCTTTGAGCACTTTGTAATGTTACCAGCTTAATTAAAGCTATTGTATTTGTGTTTTTTTATCGAAAATCCTTTGGAATCCTGGCAAGCAAAGTGGCTAGGTTAGGCCCCGTAAAGTGTTTTTCTAGTCTGTCAGCTGTTATCCCTAAGAAGGTATTAAAAATGTGTCTTACTGTAGTTTCATTCACTTAGAGGTTGCATGCGAAAGATTCAAATAAATAATTATTCCCAAAGTTTGCATAAAACCATTAAAAGATTTGTTTTTTTCTTTGCTTTTTCCTAGGAAAATTAAATCATAAATTGTCTCAAATTGAATAAAGCTAAAACCGCAATAGTCCTGGAATACATCTGGCTGACTTTTAAGCTTGTCATACAAATACATTACATTGGTTCCAGTTGAACTGATGTCATTCATAATATTTGAATTATTGACGCTAACTAATGCATTTCTCAAAATTGGTTCTGGAAATCCTTCTTTTGCATTTATTTTTCATAACCTTTTACCTGCTCCATTAATGAACTTATTGTATCATTTTTTGTTTTCAAACTTTCTTCTTGGTGCTTCTGCATTATATCTGAAATTATCAAATTGATGTTACTTTGGTAATTAAAATGTGTGTGTGTTTCAACTAAACTTACAAAACTCAAGAGATACATTATTTCTACTGTAATTGAATTCTAAAGTAAATTACTATAGGTTATATTGTAATAAGAGATCACAAATATAAAATTAAAATTTGGAAATGTGTTTCAACTCAAACATGCATTTAAAATGTAATATGTCAAACATTTTTAATAGGAATATCAAATCTATTTTTATTAGAAATTTGTAGCATTTTGGCCTGATTAATTTACATTTGTCACAGAGATATGTCTCACTGGTATTAAATTTTGAAAGTGGAACGCAAATATTGAAATTAAAATTGCAATACTTTTACATGTAAACAATGAAAAACATTCAGGGTCAATGAACCATGACTGAAGGTGTTAGGCAAAATAATTATAATGGAAACGAGATGTCTCAATGCTTATACAACTGCTTACTAAATATGATTGACTTATCATAAGTGGTTCCCTATTACATAAATAATCATAATCTTTAAAATTGTTATTATGTTAAAATTCTGAAGTCTGATAGGGGCGGGTCATTATTCTTCACCTTGACAATGAGTAGATGTAGTACATGTAGGTCAAGGTTGATTTATTTGAAAAAAAATAATTATGCTTATGCCAATCATTAATCATCGCTGAAATTAACACATTAAAAGATTGAAAGGTACATAAAAATGGTTAAGCCCATCAATATACTGGATACCTAAACTTCCCACAAATCCCTATAGAGTACGATTTATAGCTGGGTCGTTCAGATGTTGGACGAAACATCCTCCTAAAGTTCCAACTTGCATTATTTCTACAGTAATATATGACCTTCAGATATAGCGATGGGATAATTTCTAACAAACGTGTCAATCAGATATAGATTCTGAAACATTTTAAAGATCTACTCCAAAATCTTGAAACACAATCTTTACAATTTTACATGCTCAATTGTAGGATCGACTACATCGCCTCGTTAATTTTCTATGAAAGTGTAGATACCAATTCCTGGTTTTAGGTCATGCAAAATCCTACGCTGTGAAGTACCACACTGACTACCACATTAAATAATGTTGATTTGTATAAAATAAATGGATTGACGAGTTTTAAACATCGATTTTTCTACTCTTATTGCTTGTTGTTTTAAAAGGCACTGTTGTACTCTCAAATGTTTTATAACCTGCATACCATTCAAAGTTTGTTAGAGAAACACTTGTTTTGCTCAGCTATAGCTAAAAAAGTTGCAATGCCCTCATTCAAAATTGTACATTAGTAATTCCTAACAGGTTTCTTTCTAGGCATTGCACATTATTGTATCATAAAATTGAGAATGGAAATGGGGAATGTGTCAAAGAGACACCAACCCGACCATAGAGCAGACAACAGCCGAAGGCCACCAATGGGTCTTCAATGCAGCGAAAAACTCCCGTACCCGGAGGCGTCCTTCAGCTGGCCCCTAAACAAATATGTATACTAGTTCAGTGATAATGGACGTCATACTAAACTCCAAATTATACACAAGAAACTAAAATTAAAATGATACAAGACTAACAAAGGCCAGAGGCTCCTGTCTTGGGACAGGCGCAAAAATGTGGCGGGGTTAAACATGTTTTTTGAGATCTCAACCCTCCTCCTATACCTCTAGCCAATGTAGAAAAAACAAACGCACAACAGTACGCACAGTAAGAGAAGTCCGAGTCCGATGTTAGAATAGGTAACAAAAGAAACTAAGCAAAATGACAATGACACATAAATTAACAAAGGACTACTAGCAGTTTCTGACATGCTAGCTCCAGACCTCAATTAAAGTGATTGAAAGATTATGTCTTCATCATATGAATATCAGGCACAATCCCTCCTGTTAGGGGTTTAGTATTATACCATCATAAAATATATAAGAAGAACATAACCCGTGTCATGCCAACAACTGGTTTTAGAATAAATATGTTTAATTCCGATGCATAGACCCTATAAGTGAATCAATATTAAAGCCAAAATATGCAATCTTTAATGACCTGATAACAGTATCGTAACTATATCCCTTCTTAATAAGTCTGTTTAAAGGTTTTGTTAGCTTTTGACTTTTGTACTTTTTACGCTATTGAATGAAATCCAACCGATCTTTAAGAAATACAGCCTAATTGTATGTCAGTAAGTTGAGTATTTTGAACTTGCTTATGGCATGACTCTTTGGCAGTTTTGCCTATTCTTGTTTGGTTTGCACTTGTGTTTTTGTTTTCTAGCTTTAATCAGTATGAATGCTTTATGATTTATGCAATATTTTCGTATTCAATTTAACGACATAAAAAAGAGGATGAAGAACACAAATATGTATTTCGTTCGCTCCAAATATTAAGATACCTCTGCGAAGCGAGCAGACTCAGTAGAGTTGTTTCTCTCATTTAAGTATTGTTTCTCTCATTTTCATTAGGGTCCCGCATCGAGGATATGGGAGCACTGCAGTTTTCACTTTGTCCGTCTCTCCATACAGGTAGGAGGCGAGAGTAAATCTTCACAGTTGTGCATTATATGTATATGTTCATATTGTATTTTTGTGAAAGTCGGCTCATTTGGTTTAAACAACACGTCGTTTTTGATAAAATATACAAAATTTTTAGATATGTCTTTTGTAAACGCAAAAACTCCAAAAATATACGTAGGAGGCCAATGAAATTTTGCACATTCGTTTTGCATACTATGTGTATTTGCATTTGATGTTTTGGGGGAAATTCACTCATTTATTTTTGAAAAATTTTCTTTTTGGTTAAAAAATAACAAATTTTGAGAAGTATTTGAGAAGGATGTCATAAAACATTGATATAAAGTATAGGCATAATATTCAATCCAAATTTGTTTTCTCAAGTTGAAATTGTGTTAAAAGTTTGTTCAATTGATATATGATATAGGCATGAAATGCATTAAAATTCCTTCCAGAAGCCAAAACTGTATTAAAAACGTAGGTTACTAGAAAAATGATTAATTATGAAAATCATATTTTTTGCTAAGAGTTTTAAAAATGAAACAGGTATCATTTATTTTTACGAAATGATTCTCTGTGTCAAAATTATTTGTTGTCCACCATAATACATAGTGCCTGAATTTATGAACATTTTCTGTGTATGCAGAAGTCTTTTTGTCCTGACATAAACATGTGCAAGCGGGCCCTTACTCAAATGTCAGTGTTCTAGTCTGTTTTATTGTTTTTACGTTTAGAACCATTTAGACAGTTATACCATGGCATTGTCAGTTTTGTTTTTGATTTATGAGTTTGAATATCTCTTTGATAGCCCTCGACTCTCTTTAGTGTATTGATGGTATAAATTTGATAGTCTGTTTTCCCAGCAGTCAACACTCAAGCGACTTAAAACTTAATTCATTGTAGAGACAACTTGTAGAATATTGTATGCTGAACTCTTTATATTTGTTAACTTTCATGACTTTGGGTTGCAGTTCCTTTGACGTATAAAGCACACCTCATTCTCGAATTATAAACAAATCAACTGTTAGGATGATGATGATGCTGCTGGATGGCTATTTAACTTTCTGTGACAAATTAAATGCATATTCAGGAGTAGGCAGTGTTAATTTGATTCAATATTAACTCTTCTTTGTACAAGACCGACACGCTGAGCCGGATTTTTAACGTGCTAATTCACAAGATAATAGCCCACAGGAACACATGATACCCTACCTGGACATATTATTCTGACTCCGAGTCGACCAGTTTTTGCTCTTACTCCTTAATGTCGTCTACTTAGCAGAGAAGGCAGTAAATTCAATTTGACCCAGCCTGGGTTTGAGCCCACTTACTGTTGGTGGATCTAAAGATATTGTTACATTTTGCTTATTAAATTGTTTATTTACAAAGTGTTTTACAACATAAAGGTAAAATTACTAAGTTTGTATTACACAATTAAAAGATCATGACAAAACAGACACAAGCCAGAAGAAATGAATACATATGAAGTTACAGTCAGTGGCGTAGCTAGGCCATTTTTAAGTGTACGCCCGAATCACACCGAGAGGTTCGAGGTCCACTAAGCTGGTCCAGGGCAGGAGACCTTCTGGTAGGTCGCGAAACCCCCTGGAAGTTCACGCATTATTGCAAAAAAATACCAATATCTGTCATTAAAAACTCATATCAATAGCAACATACTTGATCGATATAAGAACAAAACTTTACGATAAAAGAGATGATTTCAGCTTCCAATTGTGAACTTTTCTTTTCTATGTAGCAACATTCCAGCAGCACCTGCATATATGGATTATAAACCTCCCAGTTGATAAGACATTCAAGAGCTTGCATTTCCTATCATTATTTCCTTGATAGATGGTTGCTGCATGCTTAGAAGGAAGCTACTGAACCAAGTGAAGAGTTCCAAGTGGTGAAGTTGAAATCATTCCTTCGAAAATTTTACGGTCGACATCACGAGTAGGTTGACCGTTATGGAATATCTGTTTCACTGATTGCTAATGACGACAGATATGTTCAAATTTTGATATTACCACAATCCCGTCCTAGCTCTTTTCCTCGAATGTGACCTACCGAATTAGACTTATCACTGGGTTTGTACATACATCAGCAACACGACGGGTGCCACACGTGGAGCAGAATTTGCTTACCCTTCCGGAGTACATGAGATCACCCCCAATTTTTGGTGGGCTATGTTGCTCAGTCTTTTGTTTTGGTGTTGTGTTTTGTATACTGTTGTTTGCCTTTTCGTAGTTTTCATTTTTTGCCATGGTATTGTCAGTTTGTTTTAAACTGATGAGTTTGAATATCCCTTTGATATCTTTCTCTTCTCATTTAGAGTCTAATTTGTTGGGTTTTTTTATGTTAAATTTATCAATTTTGTGTTTATTTGGTATATAATGTACATTTAATTAAGAGAAAAATGTCCAAACCAGTTGCGTTAAAATGTCTAAAAGGAGATGTGAGGTAAACAGTCAACCAACAAAAAAATCAAAACTTTAAAGA